GTCTTGGTTACATTTTGGGTAAGGATGGAATTGTGGACGTTTCATTTTTCACCAGACTATTTCTTAAAATTGTGCCTCTCCAGCACTCTGAGATGGAAGTCAAGAAAGCAGACTTGAGTGTCAGTGTGAATGTGTCATTCTGGTCACAGTGTCTTCACTCTATTCACGCACTGCTGCCCAGCTTCTTCAGACTCAACCCTATCTCCATTGAGGGTGCGTCTTTTCTTCTCTTTCTCACTTCCGCTCACTCCTTGTCTGTCCATCTTTCACTAGCTTTAGTGTTACCTATCGGGCAGATCCTCTTCTTTGCCACTGTTGTTTCCGCTTGAGGAGAGAGGGCTGGATCCTAGAGTCCTCTTGCAGAGGCACTGCCTTTACCAGTGACATAGCTGCTCAGGGATCATGGACTTGGCTTTGACACACTTACTCAAGAAGTTAAGATGACCTCTGTATTAGCTAAAGTTTTCTTTTTCTTCTGACCAGTGATCAGTTTCCTGTATTCCCCTGCTGAGATTAAAATTATACTGTGGGTTTAGGTGTTAAATCAGGACTGACTGGTGGACAATTTCCAGTCCAGAGAGAATAGCCTAACTATGTACGCAGAACACTACAATTTCAAAATGATCACTAGATCAATGGAAAAGAAGCAACAAGGCCACAATATGGCTCACAACAGATATGCTTCTGTAAGACTGTGTACATTCTGAAGCTCAAGTTCAAATTATTTCTTAATTATAGCTCAGAGGACAGTGACTGGAGCAGGGTGAAAAAGGTTAGCCGTACTGCAACACTTCATTTCTTACTCCCGTTTGAAGCCCAGCTGCATAACAGCCTGGTGGCACTCATGCGCCTCGCAGGGGTCAAACAAGCCGTGAAGGTCTCGGTCTGGCCTCGGAGGGTCAGAGCATTGTGGATAATATCGCAATATTAGAATGTATGAGGGATGGGTAGGGCGCAGCGAGGGGAGACATCAAGAATGCATTACACTGTCGGAAGACCATTAGAGAGGCAATTACAGTGCAAATGGAGTCTGTCAGCAATCTCCATTTTAGCTTGCCAAATGAGCAAAGACCTGCAATTAGACATTTAGCCGCCCTGCCTGACGCTGTGGAGTGACGAGAGGCCGAGCTGGGAGAGCTGAGCATCATCAGGATGCAGGCAGCATGCCACGTCTTTTCAGAAACCTAAACAGCTCATGATTACTCAGCTCTTTAATACAATCAATTCAATCATCACCTGCTCTATTCCTCTGGATTACAGAAGAAGGGACCAGACCTTTAGGGAATATGTTATTTCAGAAAAATTGCAGTTGAGTATGAATGATGAGCATGGGAAATACTCTTAGACGTGATAAGCCTGTAAAAATCTTCTTCCATGGTGGTACAAAATTCTTTGTTTTCAGAAGTTATTAATCGAAGACTGAGCTGTAAAACACATCCTACAACCACACTGGAACCGCAGAAGATTCACAAATCAGTTTGCTGAAGCAAATGTATGGACAGACACATTCATTTAGGAACTGGCTTTGTGCAGTTGCTCCTCACCTCCTGTTCCATTCATCTCACACTCTCTCTAGCTGTTTCAAATCTCTAAGAAAAACACCATAAATTTTACATGGGAAGCAGCAGGGAAGAACCCTCCTCATTAATCTTGGTAATCCTGGACTTGTGGGGTGGACACCGACTAATATTGATAAGAAATTTGGACGAATTCCCCAGAGCCCAAACACTGTGATCCGATTTTTATCGAGCCAGTTTCAACCTGGTTTTCTCCACTGAAGAAGAATGTGTTGGGGAATGACCAACACCGAGAGTTTGGGGGGATTCAGGAGAGAAATCTGAGATTAAATCAACATCAGCAGACAGGGATACTCTTTTTTCATGCTTAGTGGACCAAAGGGGGGCTATTTGTTTTATTAGCCATGGCTGCATAGACACAAACAAACATAAATTGAAGGAAGTTCTCAGTAAATTCTCTTAATACAGTTACTAACAGACAACTTCAGGTTTCAGAAAAAACCCTTTTGTATATGTTAGCTCAATTTGCAGTTGTTTACCGCTCTTATTCACTGTGACTTACAGAAAGAAGATGACAAAAGTACATAATAATGCACAGAAACCCTGCAAAGAGCGGTAGCCTAAAGACAAGGGCTTTACCAGGCTTATTCAAATGCAAGTGCGTTACTCTCCTTAAGTCGTAAAGAGAAGATGCATGGCAACTCCCTCAGCCTGCTAACCAGACAACCTCTCTCTTGCTCACAGATATCAAATAAAATAAGACTGAGGGGCCAATAACCTTTTCGAAACAGCACACACAAACACTTTATCCCTCAACTACAGTTAATCGCACCAGGGTAAATACAATAACTGCAATGACATCAAAATGAACGACTGAAGCTAAGTGAAGAAGGAACAGATCGGAGACTCTGAAGGTTGATTTACATGCTGGGTCAATCTTGTCAGCTATACATAATTCATGTGTGCCTGACGGCTCTCTGGTGGAAATGGCCTGCTGAAGATAGTCATTTCCCCATTCTCATCAGAGAGCAGAGAAACGGCCATCTTACAAACAATCCAGACACAATGCAGGGCAGTTTACAGTGTGTAAATGGCTTAGTGTGATTCCATATAGGCACACAAATCAGGGAGCATGTAGCTGTGTGTGTGCATGGCATGGTTATGATGCTCTTATCAGGAGCAAACACACATACATGAAGAGCTACATGGATTCCATAAGATCAAATAAGAAGCAGAGCAGCTGTATGACAGCAGGTAGGATGGTGGTTTTCAATACAATGTAGTATTTATCATCCCCAACCAACATCCCCAAAATTTGATGTTACCGCTGTCTAAATAAAACCAAAAAACCAATAAAAAAAGTTTACAGGAGAAGTAAAAACCATCATTAAAACTGCACTAAGTAATATTTGGAGATTTGGAGACCTCTCTGGTGGAAATGAGTAATTGCATGCAACTTACAGAAGAACATTTTGTAATGTGGGATCCTTCGGACTCCTTCTCTGAGCAGATGAATCTGGCAATTGTGAGTGTGTTGTAAGAGTATTCAAAGAGAACTCAGTCAAAACCTGGTGAAGGACATGTCTTCTGAGGATGCAGGAGAATTATCTACTATTATCATCATATCTTAATCAGTATAATGTCGATTTTACATTTGACACCTATACATCGAGTCGGATCTTCTTTTTCAGCCTATGCATGTGACGTTGATACGTAAAGACATACAACATGGTGCAAAAAAAAACCTCCCGCAAATCTAACACAAAACCTTAATAGTCTTAATAAAATTAATTTTAATAAAAATATCATTTTAGGTTTTACAGGGTGACTCACAGCAGCGCATGTATACCATATTTTGGCCAGTTTTTTTTTGGTCAATTTTATTCCCCTCAATAATGCTATTTCTTTCAGTTTTAACAAAAAAATCATGCAGCTTTGAGGTAACAAGATATCATTCTACATCATTTTGGACTGCTTCTGCTGACCCGAATGACACAATTACCCTATTTCAGAAGCTATTTGTACTTCATAACCCCAGTAAATGGTTGCAGTCATATCTGCATGTCTCTCAGGTACAACATGCTACCATGAGCGTGTCTTTGAAGCCAAAACTTTAATCTGGTACAGTTCTCAATAAGGTTTGCTAAAGGAGGCCACACTAGTACTTGCATTTTGAATTGCCCTGTTTCCTAAGTGAGTTCCCTTTGAAAATAAGAATCTGCATGTTAAAATGTACCTCAGTTAAAACCAATGGGTTAGGTCTATGATTATGCCAGCACTGTCAAGGCTAATTACCATAGCAGGCAAATGGCTCTTTTACCCTCTGAGTTCTTGAATAGTGGATACTGTAATTAAGCCTGAGTGAATGTACTCTCATTACAAGGCGGTAGCACTGATTTGTGCCGAGTTTAGTTTGACATGCCAGGCCTCATTCTGAACAGAGGAAGTATGAATGGCAGCAGTGTGTGGCTGTAGGTGGGCTGAGCAGGAGCCGAAGCGGAAGCCGAAGAGAGAGAGAGAGAAAAATACTTATGGTATAATATCAGTGGTTCGCAATCCCATTTGATGGAATCCAATACATTGACTGCAGCTTTTTGTATTCACCCTACTCTAATACACCTGCGGTCGTATTACAGAAACGTCCTCAGTCTTATTAAGTTCTGAGAAGGTCAAGGTAAGATTTCCTATCTTAATTTAGGAATTACATTTTATCTTATTGAGTTATTGAATACTGTGAGTGCACCCAATACTGTTTAACCAGGCGCCACTGCTTTCAAAATTTTAGCTTTAGCTGCTGTGGGGAAACGGCACTAATGTTATTCTTCCTAATAAACAGCCACACGTTCAATTGTCTCTCCATTATTCACCACCATCGTTGTGATATGTTATTTAATGAGCTTTAATGAGCATTAACACACATAAGGGGAGGGAATCTCACACGTGAAACCACTGAATAAAACACATGTTAGGACACTTTTGGTGTTTTGTAATAAAGTTAGAACAGTATTTAGAAGCTTCTGTCTAGTTAGGATGCTTCTGTAATACTGTTTTCTTATCTGGAGTTAGGATAACATTCTAAACATAGAACATCTGCTCTAAATTTAGTCCTAACTGAAGTTATGGTGACAAAACAGATAAGAACACACAGATAAGATGATTCAAATCAACAAATATTTATGTTCATCAGGTAAGCAAAGCATATTAGAACAGGTAAAACAGAAGCATGCATGTAACCTCCTGTAGCACTGAGTCTGAGAACGACTGGTACAGTTATATAGAGACTGCAGAGAATGTATGCTCAGCAAAATCCTGTAAATCACAAATATCTGGTTGATGCAGAAATGCGTACGCCTGTCTGCTTGAAAGGTGCATCAAGATAGAAAGGCTTACTATTCCTTTCAGTCCTCTGGCTGTGTGGGCTGGGGTGGGTTTGAGCAAAGTGTGAAGTCATAGAGTGGTAGAGAAGACTACGGACACACTCACCTTTCATTTATGACCTTGCTGTCCAGCATCCAGCGAATGACAGGGAGAGGGTAGCCCTTCACCACGCAGGGTAGTAATACAGTTTCGCCCACAGCTTTGGTCACGGCAGTTGGACCCAGCAGGACCTCCATCCTGTCTTCAGCAGCAGAGTCTGAAATACAGCACAGAAAAAAAACTCAATTTAAAATACATGCTTGTCTATTCAAAACATATTTCTTTAAGAAATAGTGTACATTTTAATGAAACTGACAAGGACAAATTTAGGTTACAACACAGAGAAAATACAAAACAATGTATGGCTAGAATTCTCTGCTCAGAGATGCTCTGTGGTACAATTGCACACTGACTGCTGTCTTCTGCACAGCTGCCTAAGTGCCATTAAAATGTAGTACGGCTGCCATTTCAACCATTGAGGGTTAGGAATAAATCACAAACAGCAATTTCAGTGTTTACTGGAATATAAGGACATCTAAACACTTACTGATGAAAACGTGTAGTTTTGAAAAAGAAAATGCAATATTAACTGTATTTTATCTGGTAACTGTTAAACAGGTTTTTGACTGATTGCATGACATATGACAACAATGGGACACAAGCATATGCCTGCGGTTAAAGGGGAATTACACCCATTTTTCTACATTTCTGCATTATTCAATCATTGACATGTATGCAAAGTTATTCACAGCGCATTGTTGTGAAATGTTTCGGTAGATAAACTTACAGGAACCAGAGGTCCTGATGTTTACAATGCAAATGTATTTATTTCACTATTCAAAATTGGGTACTCTTTTGCCTTACTGCAGCTGTATGTACCTCTCCACCACGAATGGCTTTTAGATCATGCTTTAGATCAGTGGTCTCCAGCCCTGGTCCTGGAGAGCTGCCTTCCCGCAGAGCCTAGTTCCAACAACAATTTCTCACACCTGCTCCAGCTAATCAACCTCTTCCCAAGTCCCTGATCGGCTGGATGAGATGTATTAGAGTTAAGTAAGGAGCAGGGCAACCTATTGGATACAGGTTGGAACTAAACTCTGCAGGAAGGCAGTTCTCCAGGACCAGGGTTAGACTGCTATAGACCAAACCTTAACGTAGGCCATCATAAAACAATGTCTCAGACATCAGGCCACGTATTAGTAATCATTTGATGTAACAGCTTTCTTTGTGGGAGATTTTAGAAGCATTAAACTCTTCAGCCGTCTGTTTCCTATCACCAGCACTGTGAACAATGATAACTCAGTAAGTTTCTGGTACTGGTAGGATGTTAAAATCACATATGTCTAAAACACAAAGATAAACCACCGACTTACTGCAACACCTTTATTTTTTTATTCATAACAATGTGAAATATTATCTATTTTCTCAAATATTGAAATACTATTAACTTAGTAATATAGACATTTAAATAGTAAAAAATTGGGTAAATCCTTCATTTCAATTACGTTTGCATTTGTTGTCTGTATCAGTACCTGGTAAAATCTGTAGCTGTGCATCTTCACTGCTCTTGACTGGTCCCAGTCCCTCTATTACACAGCGGTATGAGCCAGCGTCAGCCTGTGAGGCGTTGCTGATCACCAGAGCTCCGCTGGGCAGCTGGACCACCCGGCTGTCCGTTTCCACGGCCTGGCCAGATTTCTCCCAGTGGGTGAACGGAATGAGCTCAGCACTCACCTCACAGCTCAGCACCTCGCTCCCCCCTGGGCGCACTGACACACCCTCCGGCTGGCTAGAGAAACGTGGTAGACCTGCCAGAGTAGAGACGCCACTCTATCAGAACATGACTTTACATAAGAGACAAATTGAGCGACTTTACACAAGAGACAAACTGTCCTGCACTGAGAATCTGACATACTGCCAAATTCTATCAATTTTTTTTTTTTTGTTAAATGATAATTCCATAGTTGTTTCAAAATGTGTGCATAATTAATATATATATATATATATATATATATTTATATATATATATGTATATATATATATATATATATATATATATATATATATATATATATATATATATATATTCTGAATGACTTTGTTTACCACTCTGAATGACCTTGTTTACATATTACTGATTGAATCATGCACAAATCCTGAAGAATTAGCACAATCCTGCTTTAATCTATTTAAGTTTAAAAAATGTGTTAAAAAGCATAAAGATCTCAATGTAAGCGTACAGAAAAAAATATTAATAGAGTTTCTATCCGTCACTCTAATGTAAAGCTTATAAGGGCACTAGTTCTGATGAACTGTGTGTCTCTGTGTAAATGATCAGTTTTTTGAAATGATGGGACAAACAAAAAAAAGGCTATAATGTAATTGAATTTTTTTTTACGATCATCTAGGGCACAAACACACACACACAAGCACACAATCGGACACACACAAGGTTGGTTTGGCCGTTTGTCTCTGCTGTTTTCTTTCATCTCATAATAATAACTTAGAAAGCAAAAGCAACTCTAAAAACACTCTGAAATAAAAGCCCAGAATTGCTGGTTTGGGCTGCTAAGGTTTGTAATGGACTATTTATATTATTCCAGGAGCACTTTACTCTTCAGCAGAGCTGCTTGTCCCTTCACTCTGCAACAGTTTAAATATACGACAGGGAAAAGCAATAGTGACATCCTAATGTTTTTACTGGCTGTTTGTTTCTCTCTGCTGATTTGGGGGTTGCTGTGGTCCAGATGAGATAGAGAGGAGGAAAGAGTGTTTGTGTGCGTGTATGTGTGAAGATGGCACCAGTCCGAGGAAGGGCTGTTGACAGGTCTGTGAGTCAGGCCTGAACCCAACGGGACGTTGCCAAATCTTCTCTCCACATAAAGTGCCAACAAAAGGCCACAGCAGGGGAATATTAGCCTCTACAAACATTACACTGCAGCTGCTTTATACTGACCGATCAAGTACCCACAACACAACACATTACGCTAATCTAATGGAGGCTTCACGTAGAAATAAAGACCAGCACCCTTTTGCTCGGTCAAAAGGTTCAGAACAATGGTGCTTCTGCAGCTCTGAGTGAACTCAGCCAGCACCCCAAACGCCGTAAACATCCCGTCAGACAAACCATACAGACAGCATCAACGTGTGCAAACATACTGCTGGAACTATACAAACACAAATGCAGCCTAGACAACACTGCCTAAATATAACGACAACAAGCAAAGGGTTATAAACAGTTACAATCAAACACACACACACACACACAAACACACACGCACAGCACACACACACGCACAAACACACGCACACACACACGCACACACACACGCACACAAACACATGCACACACACAAACACATGCACAAACACGCACACACAAACACACACACACACACACGCACACACATCAAGAAGGGGAATTCCACTGATTTTTCAAAATCTTGCATAATTTAGTAGTTGCTATGTAAACAATATCATTGAGTGTTTTTTTACTGGTGCTCTGTAGAGACATGGAACCAGGAACCAGGGGCCACGATGTCTACAACACAAATATTGCAATTCTGAATCTTTATATTGTGGCTGTTGAAACAAAACCTCACATCTCCAAAACTTTCTGCGAAGAAGCTATTAGAGGCATTAACACTTTGGAGGACTGGTTCCTATCACCACCACCGTGAACAATTCTGTCTTGGAAAGTTTCTTTAGGGTGGAGCATTTCATACCAAACCTCTTAGTAACACTGTTTACATCCTAACCATTTAATCATGAAGGAATTCTGAACAATTTTGTGGAATTCCCCTTTAAGATGGACAGTGAAGTTCAGACAGCTAAACCAAGGCTGAGAAAAAAGCGAAACATCTGGTTAGACTGCAGCAAAACATCAGAAACACCACCGTGGGGTTTCTGGCCTTAATAAAGAGAATATTTATTAATGCTTTGGATTCCAAGGCCCATGCTCACACAATAAGGGTCCCCAAAGACCCTCTGATGCTACTGTAGCGCTGCCTGTGAGGGAGAGAGAGTGTGAGCATACAGTGATGCTACAGGCTGGCACTGATCCCTCTACTCACACACAGACACAGGGAGATCATTAAACACAGCCGCGGGCTGCTGCTGCCCTGGGGGGTTGGGGGTCCCAACAACCACACAAATAAACACAGTCACACACACATACTTCACTAAGCCCTTCTATCATTACTCACCTTACACAGTTCACTAGGAGAAAGTCTGCAGATAAAACAGAGAGCCTATGTCTCTCTCTCTCTCACTCTCTTACTCTCTGGGCTGGGACAGTAAAGCCTCTCTCTGAAGACTCCACTAACTCTGCTCCATTTGATCAGTAATGACTCCACTCACTCCATTTTATCTGTAATGGGCCAAACCTTCAGTCATTTTACAGCTCCATACTAAATCCCTCAGTGTCTTGTGTGCCACACACACACACACACACACACACACTCCCTCTCTCCCTTTCTCTCTCTGTACCAGTTGGCGGCAGCAATAAAGCTGCCAGTGTGTTGTGCATATGGGTACCAGACACACAGCTTGCTTTCAAAACCCCTGGCACACATTCCTCCTCCTCTCTCAGCGTCTCTTCTCTGCCATCCCTCAGCAAACAGGCAGAAAAAAAGCCTCTTCAGTCCTCCGCCTCAGATGAACACGGACCGGGAAACTGACACCGATTTCTTCTGCCCTCCACAAACATTTGCTGGAACATTACCGCCCTCACTAATGCCTGATCCGGCCTGCTTGGCCTTGATCCTCTGACCAACGCTGCTGACCACCCTAAGGCTGCACAGTGTGAAGGAAACAGTGGCTCTGTGATCAGGAGCTCCAGGTGAGGGTCTGTGGCTGAGGACCCCACACACTGACCCAACCCCAGCCTGGACAGAGTAAACAGAGCTTAGGCTCGCAGCATACTGAGACCACACAGTCACCATTCAACGCCACCAAAGGCAACTAAACTACATGGACCACACAAACACGCTGCGGCTCTACAGTACAGGAAATGCATCCGAGTATAGCCGAGCAATCTGCTCCACAAAGATGAAGTCTACAAAGCACACAGGAACTCTGCCTTAAACAGGTCTAGTGAAAACTTCAAAAACACCTGTGGAATTAATACCATCAAAAAAGTTAGGCTTCTATCAAGTAGAGCTATTTAGACTCACCCTACTTCCCAACACGCCTAAGTGATTTAAAAGCATTAAGAAGGACACATAATCCCACAAACAATAATAACAACAGAATTTTATTCATAAGATACTCAAGGACACTGTACACAGAGGAAGGATAGCGTTCCAGAGCCCTGCACACTAAAAGCCTTATCTCCAAAAGTGCGTAATCTGGAGGGTGGGACAGAAAGTATGAATTTGTTTGAATTTATAGTGATATATAGTGATGTATTTGTGCAACATTTGAACCGGCTTTGCCATAAATTACCAAAGTAGTTCAAGTTATACCTTATCGCAACACCCTTACCACTCACGTGTAAGTAAAATATAAGGTTAGGCTTTCTTGGTCAGTTTCCATGTCAGTGTTACTGTTAAGCCAATTAGTTGTATCGGTAACACTGTATTTGGAGTGGTTCTTTGTAGATGATTAATAAACTCAACATATTATCAGTACCACATCAACAGCAGATCAGTGAAGTAGCAGTAGTGACGCATCTGAATACACTGAGGTAAATATCTTGTAGATGTTCTGTTGATACATTACTTACATTAAGTGGATGTATTGTTAATATGTTACTTCCATTACACAAAACCTAACCTTATCCAACCTTACCCAAAACATAATCCTAATCCTAACCTTAACCTCAACCCAAAACCTAACCCTAACCCTGGCCCTAATCCTAATCCTAACCTTAACCTTAACCCAGAACCTAATCCTAACCCTTTATATGTTTTTGACGTTACTGAGAGTCCGTTGAGTGTTTGTTTCATCTAAAAAAGACCACTGAAAAAAGTGTCACTGAATCTTTTACTGTAACAATGCACCATAGTAATGTAAATACTCAAGGCTGCTGTTTGTCCTTCACTTTTAAGTACTTGAAGGCCATTATTGTTATGCCATTATTCCATTTGTCGTAGTTATTAAATGTTCACAGATTTTTTTTGAGTAATTGCTGCTGAGTGAGCTTTCTGTTTTTGTTGTAGTACTGAATGGATTATTGAGAATCATTAAATTTCTCTACCACCAATAGGAGAACAGCATGGAATGATGTACAACATGAGCACAAACTGCAAACAGATGGCAGTGTCTACAGCAAATCTTAAAGCGAAACCACACATTTTTAATCATATTTCTTCAAGGTTTAACTTTACGCCGAGCACTGATGGATGACCAAGCAGAATGCTGCCACTGTTCTGAGAGGTAGACCTCTCACCAGAGAACATTTATCGTATAAATCTGAATCTGGCATTCAGCACACATGTACATAACTGATGTCCCAAGCTCTGTCACAGAATTTGGACAAGATTTTGCTGGCTACACCTTGCACAGTTATCACAGCAGGTTTGAGCCCCCCAAAAGTCAGACACATTGTTGCTCTCCAGCAAAGAATACACAACAGTCCACTCACTCCATTCTAGCACTTGTTTTAACCGTGAGCAGATAAAGAAGCCTGTAGCTGGCAGCCCGCTATAACTTACATGACTCATACCCCATGAAGGGAGGGTGACAACATGGTGTTAGATCATTCATTTCAAATATCACGGCTAATACACTACCAGATTAAATATTTCATGAGCCAGCTGAGATGACTCAGCATATTTCTGTTTTAATATCTTAATATCGATCAGAG